GGGCCCAGCCAGTGGCGGGGCGCGTTGCTGGCGGCGGGGCGCGGGGCAGGCTGGGAGTTGTAGTCTTGTGGCGAGGCTGAGGCTGCCCAGAACGAGGCGGGACTTGCCAGGGCCCTGCGTGGGCGGGGGGCAGAGCCCAGCGCAGCCGTGCCCCGGCCTGGGGCCTGCCCCAGCGGTGCGCATCCCCCGAGAGCCTGTCTGGCGCTAACACGAGCATCTTGACCCAGAGATTGCCAGTGGGGCTCTGCTGTACTCCAACCGCCCTGCCCTGAGCGCTGTGCAACAAAAGACCTGCTTCCATAGCCGTTCCCAGTCGAAACCAAGAGCTGGCATCTTCTGAGGGGCAGATGCAGGGGGAGCGGGGGAGATGCATTGGAGCGCTCGCGCCCCTCTTTGATCTACCCAACGTTTGACATCGGCTGCCTGGCAGCGGTAGCAGCATTTCTACTCTGGCAGGCACGGCCGAGACCCAAATCTTCACCTGACGCTGTGTTTGCCACTTCTGCCTGTCTCTGGACCTCATTTCAGCTTGCAGATCAACCCCAAAATAGACCTTGGGGTGCAAGAGGGAGGCTGCAGCTGACAGCACCTCACACTGCCATCTAGGCGAGAGCTCGTGCAGCTGGATGGAGGAGCACAGTACAGAGCCAAAGTCGGATACCCCAATACTGGGGCATGTGGTGGCTGGTGGGAAGCAACAGGGGGGAACCAGGGTGGGTGCACTGGTGCACATATACCCCTTTGCTTCCTGCTCCACCGAAAGTCTAAAACCCACTGGCTGGCAGTGACAGCAGCAGCAGCATTTCTTGTCAAGCAGTGCTGAGCGAGTCAATTGACTTTATGGCTCGTTGTCATCTATCTGATCGCTTCTAACTTCTTCATTCCACAGGTGTTAATAACCATCTCTCCTTTTTAATGGTCTTGATATTCCACCCATCAAGCTAGGCTTTGTTCTGTAGTCTGAGCTGCTCCTGGTAAGGAAGCTGCTGTTTCATAGCCCTGCCGCTCAGTTTTAACTCATTCCGACTCAGATTTACATTTGCTTCATTCTGGAACTAAATAATACTACCTTAGACTCCTAGCATAGTAGTAAAGCTTCTAGTTTACTCTTAATGGGAGAAGAATGCATGTTGTTTTGTATGTGATGATGCACCTCAGCATCTGCACCCCTCCCTTTTCAAAATTCTGGATGTACACATGCCTGGGGTCTATCAAGGGGGACCTGGCATATAGGAAAGATCTCAACCACTGCCTTAAACCCACAGGAATTTTAAATAATGCACCAGTGGGTTTTTAGTCCCTGGTTTCCAGGCCCTTCAGGAGTCCTTGTGCCCAGCTCTCAGCATCCTTGCTGCCACAAGCAGTGCTTCCTGCAGTCTCTTGAACCTGGTACCAGACCCCCACAAATCCTGTCAGCAGCGCAAGACCTGAGTGTCCCTGGAGTTGGGGACACAGCTGCTGGAGTCAGGGACACTGCACAGCTAATGTGCAGCTGGTAGTGACCAGGCTGGGGGTGAAAACATCTCTGCTCTAACCATGCTATGTAGCAGGTACTGACTAGGCTGGGCCTGAAAGAGACAAGTGGGGAAGACAGAGATTGCACCCCACTGCCCCTCACCATCATTTTCTTTGGGAAATTGTTTTTTTGGAGGGAAGGACAGACCACTTAGCTGACAGCACTTCAAGACTCAGTGCCCCTCCGTTCATTTGTAGTGGTGTAGGGGAAAGGTTAAAAAACGTGCTTTTAACAGAGGAGGTGGAAAAGGGACATACCCATAGAGATGAGATGAACACTCATTATCAAGTGCCACCAGTGAACACCTAGAGATGTAAAGAGGAAAGGTGTTATGGCAGATGGTGGACAATCTATTACCATACAAAGAATTTGGTGGGTTTTTCGAAATATTCAAAATCTTTTGAATTTTTCAAGCAGAAATAAAGTAGAAGGAACAATATATCTTGGAAGCCTAATGAATGGCTGTTTTAAAACAGGGATCGTGATCATCCAGTTACCAAAACCAATGGACTGTACTACAAAAAGCCTGTCAGAGAGGCTTCTGACAAGAAAACTTTTTGAAAATCTTTACCTGGTCTATAAGAACAGCCTGCAAAATTCAATCCTATTGCACAGCATCAGGAAAAGAAAATCTGAAACAATTTGAGCTGTCCAGATATCCTGAGTGTAGTATGAAGGGTCATGTTGTTGGTTTCAAAATATAGATGGCATGCAAAGCTTTCTAGGAGAGATTACAAAGCAGAGAACTTTGCAGCAAGATGATTAATTCTACACTTTTGAGACCTTTTAAAAGGTCTAACCGAAGAGAGTTTGGATTTGCTCCAAGGAACAGACTTAGTGCTAAAATGTTGGAACTTGGCATCTCTTCATTTCTTTAATGGAATGCATTTTATTTCAGGGCTATAATTAATTAGACAGTTCACTCACAAACTGTTAATTTAGCAAGATATGCCTATTTAGATATTGCACCATTAATGAGACTAAATACTCATCAACCAGCAAAGAGCAAAGTTCCTCCTAACAAGAAACTGCCATTGTGGTGCGCTGTCACAGAGAGGCCCCAGGCCCCAAGATGTTAAGGTGATGCCAGCACTCCTGTTTTCCTCTTTAAACACTTAACTATGAATTCCACTTTTTTATAGCATGACCCCAGCTGGCTTTTACCAGATCCACCACACAATAAACACCCTTCCAAAAATGCATTAAGAAAACCAAAAAAAGAAAACCCAATTATTTAGAATTCAAAGTAAATGGTTAGTTATCCAGAACATTTCCCCTTCACATTCACCACAGCTTTTCAGAAGTAGTAACAGTAACTTTAGAAGTCTCTTGTTGGTCCTGAACATCTTTATTAGGGAGGAAAATGTTTCAGTGCATCAACTGTTCATCTCATCATTAACATTTTTTGCTTTTGAGACAAATGCACACACGAGACAAAGGGGGAGGGGAGGAGAAAAAATTCTGTCTGGCTGCTGCCTGGTTAACTTGTGTACCACGGGCAGGATACAGTGTGGACAGGTCAGGCACAACCAGGAATGCTTGAACCTGTGCTCCTCAGCTCACTTCTCTTTTTTTGGAGGGCATGCGACTGGCTTGCTCAGCTTTCCTTCCCTAGTCCTCCTTCATGGTGCCACCAGTCTTAGTACTTTATGGCTAGACATGGAGCCATAAAGGAAGGTTCTAAGGACCCTAATTCTAAGGATGGTCAATCTCAGATTAAACTAGTTAATATTTTAAGGCCATGGGACCCTCGTAGCCATATCATTTAACTTCCTGCCTTCACTAACCATAGAATTTTACCAAGCAGCTCCTGCATTAAGCCCCTGATTTTTGGATGTGCTAGAACCTCCTCCTCAAGGAGCCATCCAGTCTTGTTTTAAAGACTTCATGCAATGCAGTATCCATCACAGCCCTGCGCAAGTTGTTCCCATGATGAATTACCCACGCTGGGTAACACTTGCACTTTATTTCTAGTCTGAATTTCTTTAGCTTCCATGTCCATGCAGTGCATCATTATGCTTTTCTTCTTCTTTTTTTTTTTTTTTACTACATGGAAGTGTCCTTTAATTATTTTTCAAGAAGATAATTTTAGACCATAATCAAATCACCCTTTAAACTTGCACTTTGATATTATCTAAATAGACTGATGATACTCAGGAGGCAGAAGGGGAAAAAAAGAGACAGGAACAAAAATAGAGTAACTCAGGGAGAAGGGGTAGAATGGAAAGCACAAACCTTCTCTCCCGGTTCCCAGATGTGCTTTGGATTCACCTGAGATGTGCTTTGGATTCAAGTTGATGAGACAAGATAGATCAACACCCTCATTGAGGCCTGAATGTAAAAGAAAGGACCCAAAACACAACAACATTGCTTGTGTAAGGTGTAAGATGAAAAGTTCACCAGTGTGACAGTGCTCAGGCTTGTAGAGTCCTGAGAAGCCAAGGGTGTCCCTGTGTTTGTAGAGACAGTCCTGCCATGGGAGTTCTGGCCAGGCGCAAAGGAACCTCTGGGTAGAAACAAATGCAGGAACCCAAGCCCCACAGATTATAAACTCCCGGAGGGCAGAGACTGGCATTCTCTTCTGGCTGTATTTCCCCCCCCACAGTGGTAAACGTATATAAGCAATACTGGTGCACTGCAGACAGAAGCAGAAGAAAATACATTTCATAGACATACTCCAAACCTCTTGCATCTCAGGAATCCAGGGAAGTGTCCAACACCCTTTCCCATGTGCAGGGAAATTGCTGCTGTCCTGAAGGGAAGCTTGCAGAGATCTCTGCCTTCTCAATCCCCAGATTGTATGGCAAGAGGGCACACATTCCAGGTCCCAAGAAAAGACAGGGTTTGCTTTACCTCTGCCTGTGGCACTCCTTACACTTGGTTTGTTTTCCACACCTGTCTGAGTGCCTTGCTACCCTTCGGCAGCCATTTCGTCATCTGCAATTGGCAAAGTTTAGGTAACAAATAGAAGTTGTGTAGTTGGACTTTGGAGCCCAAAGGACACCCACGCTCCACCCCAAGATACTGAGCCTTTGCCTTAAACAGAGTGCTCAACCTATCAGGCCTCTCACTGCCCTATCTAGAGCACATGCTATCCACCCACAAGGCTCTCCATAGGTCTGGAAATTTGGCAGAAGGGGAAGAGCAATTAACACTGCCACCATTCCCCACCAGTACATTTTTCAGACCTGTGGGCTGGATGGTGTTGCTCCAAAGGTCAAATCTGGCCCATGGGGCAGGAGTTGAGCACCCTTGCCTCAACACTACCATGCATCTATGCCCCCATGCCAAGGCAATCTGCCTCTACAGTCCCTGCTTCTACCATGGCTACCCTAAACTGCTGTTTTGCAGGTCCTCCTCCAGGAAAAGGGACACACAACAGAAAGAGGGTACACCAGTACCTGCAGGTTAAATTGTGTACCAAGCTTCTTCCAAGAAACCAATAAGACCAGCTCATCAGGGCAGGGTATTAGATCTAAGCCCTGAAAAAGCATAAGATCCATGAGATCAGTTAGATAAAGACTGCACAGAGTTGCTTGTAAATGGATCTTAGAAGTAATGGGTATTTAATAGAACTGTTTGAAGATGGTTAGGATGTGTCACACTGGCTTTGCCAGCAGAGGTGGCACCAGTGGTCTGCCCAAACTGGGAGGTGGACAGCTGGGACAAAGATGAAGTGGCAAAGTCGGAACATGGGAAGCTAAAGACTGTCAAAAGTGTCAGGCAGCGCAGTGAATCAGTGCAGTGCTCTTGAATCTGGGGTCATGGAGAAAGCAAGAGGCTGAGGCCTCCAGAGCTGCTGAGGACAGGCAACATTTCTGACCAGTTCACAGGCAGTATTCACTGGGTCTGAACAGTGCAGGAAACAGAGAAAGAGCAATGGAGGCTGCAGGCCGCACAGGTGGACCTTCAGGAGGAGGAGGAGAGCTTCAATTAGAAGAGGAGACCTCTGTCACTTCACCGCCATCCCATCTTTCTTCAATTCTGGCAATAACCCCCGAGAACCCAAATCACAGAAATAAAAGGATACAATACAACGCGCTCTCAGATATATTTGTACAAAGATCCCAGAGAGCTTTTATACAGCTGAGGGCACTGGCAAGAGAAAGTTTTCTGTTTATGCCAAACTTCATTTTATTTATTTTACAAACAAAAATATACATTACTCTGTTTTCAATCTCCCCTTCCCTGCCCGACACAGACAAGCGCTTCTGCCCATAGACCACAGCCAGTGCTGGTCTCTGAGGCGCTACATACACACAGACATACAGCGGGAATACAGTCAGTCCTTGACCTAGTGTGGAAGCTCCTTAGCAGCACAATGTGGGACATTGCAAGGAAATAATGGACTTTGGGGGTGGGGGGGTGGAAATGGGGAAGGGGGAGGAAAGATACTTGTCCCATCCAGAAAGGAGTGGATGGATGCACTTGGCAGCTGGTCCTTCTGCATTTCAATCAGCCAATGATAGGCAGAATTCACAGACTGCTCTTACTTCACTGAGGAAGAGACACAAGCAAGCCTTATTTTCAGAGTCCTGGACTCCCATCCTTTGTTCTTCATGACGGGACAATTCTGTCCCCCACCCAGAACAAGGCCCTCCCACTCCCGAGTCGGCTTGTACAGCCCTGCCTACACAGTGGAAATTATGCTTAAGTTTCCCCACCGTCGTTAACAGTGGTTCATCTCCAAGGGCTTCAGCCACCAGAGCAGCACTCACAGACATGCCACCAGCCATTCAGACACCCTGCTCTCAGTCGCCTAACCCTGCTCCCATCAGCCCCCACAGACCACTACACTGGGGTCCCAATGCAGCTAATGCCAGCTACAGTAGGAAGCTACAAGGTTTCCCTGGTGGGATAAAGGCCCATCTGGACGAGAGCTCAATAAAGATCTCAGAGCACATTCCCAGGCACCTGCTGTTGTCATCACCACATGCTGTGGAAGTCTACAAGGCTCTGAGGAGCCAACATGGTGCAATGAGGTCTCTTTAAAAAGTAAATAAAAATAATAAAGTAAAAAGCACACATGCACTTAAACCAAGTGTCTCTCCCTTTGGGTCCCAGGGCTGCTTAGAGACCTGATGGCTAGAAAACAAAGGGAACAGAATAGCCTGGCCTTCACAGCAAGGTTGTGCTCATCAAGTAGAGAAGTCAAGTGCCTGCATGACTGTAGTGATGCACACACACTCCCTGTTGTCACCCCTCAGGCTTCCCATTTCCTCATTTGGGAACACTTGGAAGCAAACTACACCCTCTAACCTCCTTCAGGATTCAAACCCATACTCCAGCACCACACAACAGGAAGGATATTTGCTTCCTTAATTATCCCCAACTATCAGGATCCAGAAATCAGCAGTCAAAGAAGAGACCCATAAAATTCATACATGCTGAAAACAACCTCAACCTGCCATTTCCAATTAAATGCAGCCAATTCACATGTCAGATCCTCCACGTACCTGGAGGTCTCCAGTCAGAACCGCACTTCTAATGCTACCAACATAAATGTATTCACCACTGATGAATGCAAATCGCATCCCAGAGGTCCCACAAGCCCAGCTATGGAAGCCTTGAGTAGAACAGCCATGGGGTAGGAATGCGATGGGGTCCATGTCATGCTGACATGACATGGGGTTTGCATGTCAGATGCAAACCCTTCTTTCCATGTAGAAGAGGTTAATGGCAAGACCTCAGAGAGTCTTTAAATAGACCAGCAGGGAAGTCCAAAGTCATATGGTTTTTAAACATATCCAGCTGCAGCACCTATTCAGGCCAGTGTGATTGTGCCAGGGGCCCAAGCTACAACACAGCACAGATCAGGAGAAGCTGCCGCAGAAGCAGTAGCATTTTGCCTACTTCCCATTTACCTCCCAAGCTAGAACACTTGTCCTCTTGACTCTAGCCACTTGGTTGGCTTCCCATACCTCTCCAGGCATGGGATACTAGCAACCAAGGCTCATCTTCGGCTTTCGCTCTGCCTCAGGCCTCTGATCTCCTCTGCAGCCTTCATTTTCAGAGCCAGCCTTCTCCTCTGTAGCCCTCTTGTAGCTGGGGGACCCTCCAAAGCAGAGCACAGACCTGTAGCATGCTCACATGGCCAGTTTGAGTGTGAAAACTCAACCCCAATTCAGTGTAAAGCACATAGCTGCATGTCACCGAGAAGTCAGGCTGCAAGTCCAGTTATACAGCAGCACATTCTTCAGAGATGCTTCCTCACTTGTTTGGTCTCAGTTGACCAGCCATGTTAGCTCTTTTACAGTCCCGCTATTTTTTACTCAGGATATATCAGTCTCACAAGCCTGTAAAATGCGACCCTGGTCTCGGGGCACATTTAACAGTTCAATCATCATTGTACTTCCTCACTCCACCCCTCACCGCCTTCCCCAGCTAAACACTCAACACAATTCCCATCATACTGCATTTCATGATTTGTATCTGTATCAACCAGAGCTGGGAGCAACTCTGTTTTTCCAAGCTTCCTCACCAGACACTGCTATTGCTAAGAGCTTGAGCAGGTTAATTACAATACTATTTGGGAAGGCGGGCCTACCGAGACAGCCCAAAGTGCCTCTGGGTCCATGCACAGAATGCTTCCTCTGGCTGCTCTGGTGCATAAATCTCAGTTCACGCACCCCAAACCCACCCACCTCCCACTCAAATAAGTGCTTTCAGACATTCAAAGAGGAAAGTGGATCATTCAGGCCCATCTTCTGGGTCTCATCCATCTCTGGAACACTCAGGAAGGTTCTGCACAAAGGTATTTGTGAATACAGCTGGTCTAGGCCATTTTCATGTGAAGACAGCGCATGTCCTTCTGGGAGGGTCAGAGGAGTTGTCTATTTTGTTCCACAATGGGATGACAACACCCCAAGGAAAGAGGGGAAAGCCACACCGAATAGCTGAGGATCAATTTCCAATGCACATCCTAGCAACTGTGGGATCAGAGAGGTTGGAAGGAGGGGAATGAGGCATTGCAAAAGGAGATGTGGGTTGCTTCACACATTGATGGCTTTCCAACGGTCACTATCAATGCTGTTGATGCTGCCCACGTGGTAGGGCATAGAGGCAACATCATCCAGGTAGGCTGTGGTGTCAATTTGGGTGCTGGAGTAGAAGCCGGAATCCATGCCCTCTTTCTTGGCTACAGCGTAGGCATGGGGGAGGTGCACATCAACATCCTCAGGTTCATCCACTTGGCATTTGTAGGAGAAAAGGATCTTTGGCTCAGACCTGGAGTCAGGAGGAAGGAGAGAAAAAGAGTTAGAAAGCTGGTGAATGTGGTGAAATGTCAGCACAGTGACCTCTCCAGCTGAGAAGCAGCAACGATATGGAACCCCACATTTAGGGACCATTGGCCACATCATATGAACTCCACCATCCCCTCACCAGGAGGGTGCAGGACCAAAGCAGCAGGGGGTGGCACAGCTCTGGAGCAAAGCACATTGACAGAGCTATGGTTGGACAACCAGGGCTGTAAGTAGATGCGTGGAATATCTGTTCTTATTCCTCCTGCAGTGCACAGATTTCCTCAATGCAAACGATGAGGTCCTGATGCCAAAGTCACCAATGGGTACTCTATCATCATCTCCAATGGAATGGGATTCATGGGACTTGAAAGGTTTGGATCAGGACATTCATCTCAAAAGCAGAGTTTTCCATCTAGAGCCAATACCAAACTTTGCTCCTTTCAGACTGCAAAGCAGAGAGCAGAGCAACAGTTCAGTCCCATGAAGATTTAGGAATCTGCTGCTTCCTGTTTACCAGCACGCTTGTACAGTTTGATCTGTCCTGTTCAGGAGACATCAGTAGGGTGAAGACACTGCACTGCCCCCAGCTGGCCACACGGGGGCACCTCAAGTCCAAGAATCACGCTTCAGCGGTTCTCTACCTCTCAGGGGAGCCCTTGGAAAATGCCAGCTCTTAACTTTCACTTGGAGTTTTTTTTCAACTACAAAAAAATAATAGAGCAATTCTTCTGTTGCAAAGGATTCAAAGACCACAGCAGGTCAGAGCATGTTTGACAGTCTGGATTCCTATTTGAAATCTGTGAATCATGTACAGGTCTTTGCACACTCAACAGTGAATCCAGGAGCCACGTTCTCTACTTAATCCGACTGTGGGAATCAGTCATTCACAAAACACTTGACTAGTCAGCTCCTCAGTATCTAACAGTGGGTGCAGACATCAACAACTTGGCTCCTCACGAGGAGCTGGCATCTGTTTCCCATTTTATAGGGGAATGGAGTCACACAGAGAGGAAGAGACTTGACCAAGGTTAAAGGCAGTGACAGAGCTAGGTTCTGTTACTGAGGTCCAACCATGGCTTGTATTTTACAAGTGAGGGAAGTGAGAGACTAAGCAAGGTAAAAGAACTCCCATCTACTCACCCAAAGAAGCCTTTCAGGAATGCCACGTAAATGAGAGGTGCGAAGAAGCTGAAGTAGAGGAATGTTGTGGCATCAACACAGCTGTCAGAGGCAAGAGGAAACATGAAGTTGTTAGCATCTCCTCACAGTACAGAAAATGGTTCCTGTGTGTAATAAGCAAACCCATGCCTTCAGGAAGGGATCCCATTCCCTCCCAAGGGTCCAAGACACCGTGTGGGAGACAGAAGGCAACATCTCCTACTAACTAAGCATGCTCCCTTGGCCCAGATGAACAAGTTCAACCGTCAATGCTTTGCAGTTTCTCTCAGCCCAGAAAGTCCCTGCTCAGCCACGGGACAGCCCTGTCCCAAGAATGCCATATTTCCAGTACAAAATGGACAGCTCTGTGCTATTTCTGCATCTCCTGAATGTGACCTCTCTCACTGGAAAACCCCAGGCAAAATGAAGCCAGGGGCTGGTCCTCACTGCTGACTAAGTGCTGCCCCTCCCTTACACAGGAAGGGAATATGGAGAACACTTCTTGGAGGAGCTCTGCACATGCCTCCCTTACAACAGTACACCCTTGTCCTGTGTATTTCACAGAGGGGCATCTTAACAGTATTACTGTTAAACCTATACCCACCACTTTATTTAGGGGCAGCAGGGAAGTTCCTTCTGTCCCAGTTATGATTGTAGGTAAGCAAACTTCTCTGCTACCCCTAAACAGAGACTCATATTAAATAAGTCTTGGCTAACTCGGCAACAGACTTTTCTTCCAGCTGAGGATGCTGACAGAACCAGTCCCCTTGCCATACGTACCACAGTCCTTCTATGATATCCACGCAGAGGAGGGCACTGCCCAGGCCCTGCAGGAGATTCATCAGGGCAAGAATTCCAGCATAGACATAAAAACTCCTCCTCGCTGTGGGGGAGACAAGGATGAAAAAAAAAAATCAGGCTCACCAGCCCCAGCTAAGCAGTTTATGATAGCAGCTGCCAGCTGAAGGAGGTGGCACAGCCTAGAGACATGTCTCCAACTGCTGTTAGAAAAGACAGAGCTCTGGAAAGCTTGGGAACTACTTAAAGATCAACACCCCATATTTCTTCTCTCTATTGCCAGTAGTACCACTGGAGGTCAGGAAGTGAGACAGCCACATACTATGACACTTATGGAGGAAACCACAGCTTCACATGCCAAGCAGCAGCAGGGGACTCCAACGGCTGTCATTAGAATAAAAGGCGCAAGCCTATCACTGCTGAACACATGGACCTAGCGTTGCTCACAGGGCCTGTGACTGAACCAAAAGAGGCACTGTGGGTCAGCAGGGGAGTAAAAGCGGAGTTAGTAAAACAGCATAGAAGACCAAAGTAGGAAAAGTAAAGGATGCTATGGGTCCATACTGAGGGACATCAGCAGCACTGGGAATGTTTAGGACTGGAGTAGCAAGGGGTACTGCAGATATGAACTAAGTTGAGCTGAGGACACTTGCACCGACTCGCAGCAGGCATACTTGGTAAGCACTGCGCCAATGTGCAGTATTTAAAGAACTGGCTAGAAGCTTCCAACCAGCCTAGAAAGCCTGGAACTTTCCCCTCTCAGTAGCTGTACTCCAAGAGAGTACAACCTCAAGTGCTACTCAAGGAACTTTCTTTAAGAAGTCAAGCCCTCCTGCTTGTAGTTAGTGCATCTAAAAAAAAAAATAAAAAAAAATCTACAAGGACAAACACATTATACCTCCCTCCCAATGGAAGAGCCAGCCAGTCTTTTAATTCAATGTTCTAGCTGCCACAATGGGGATGTGAACAATCCCTCCCACCCTGTCTATCATCTTACATTTCAGTCCCTCCCACCTGACATGTGGCATTTTGAAGGGACTCCACCATTCAGGAATTAGCCATTTAAAGAGCCCCAAAGCAACCCTTCTTTTGCCATAGACGCCCATGAGCACCTCACTGTGGCAGGTCATTCTATCTGCCAGCATGGAAAACCCAAGCCAAAGCTACAATAACTAACCCACCTAAAGAACAACCTGCACTGTGGAGCTTTACTAGGTTTGAGGAGCCACCCAACCTCTCAGTTTCCTGCCAGGCACCCACTACCCAGATGCTTAGAAAAGGGGGCAAGCAGGTATTTATTTGCAAGAGCCCTAGTTGCTGGAACCCTTTGCTCCCACCCACATGTCTCTGTTCCCCACACTGGTTGACTACAACACCACCAGCCTGATGAGTCCACTCACATGGAAGAGAAATCCGGTCTTTCAGCGGAGTTTTTGGAAGAATCACCACCAAGCTATAGACCTGTTGAGGGAGAAAAAGAACTTAGTCTCTGCCCTGTGCATGATAGGATTTAATAGTGCAAGTTTCAAAGGAATGGGGTGGTGGGTGGATGCGTCTCTAAAGCCACAGACAGTAGTTGCGGGTACTCGACAGTTCATTATGCTACAGGCTCTTCCCTTTGTACGTTGAGAAGTTGGAAAGGCATGGAAGGCCCCAGGCAGAGCTTGAATTCAGCTGTCAGGACCTGGTCCACTCTTAGCCTGGTCTCTCTTCAATCTTCATGGCTCTCTGCCCTATCACAAACACCATCTCCCAGGAGCTCTAGCACTGGACCTGGAAGTCACAGACTAAGCAGGTACATGTAAGGAGCCAGGGGCCGTCCACCTGCCTGGGGGGCCTGACTGCTTGCACCCAATTCTCATCATTTCATTTAAAAGATAAGGGAGGTAAGTGGAGATATCAAGGTACAGCTGCCGAAGAGGAGGTACCAACCCAAACTATCCTTCCATTTGGCCAGGATAGGCAGCATGAGCCATGTACTCACCAGAAAGAAGAAACAGGAGCTGGCAAGCCAGAAGTGTCTCCCTCCATGGCCATAGATGTTGAAGTCTTCTGCAGAGAGGTGGGAATCAGGGTACAGGATTTCCAGTGTCCCCTGAGGGAGAAAAGGCACTCTCAGCACTTTGGCTTTCACAGAACCCATTGTCCCTCCACTGACAGAGGATATCTGCATTCACAGAAGTTCAGATAACTGCTGACCTTGCCACTCCACTCAACTCCACCTCTTGCACTGCTCAGATGTGCTCTTTAGCCAACTCAGACTCAACTAAAAGAAGAGTAGGTAAAATATAGGCAAGAAACCAAGGAGCCCCAGGATTTCAACAGGGCAGGATAGGGTGTCCATTTACGAACAGATGAGCTCCTGGCCAAATGCAAAGTGCAGTTGCAGGCTGTTGCAATGGAAGAATTTTTTCCCTGGGGATCAGCAGCACCTTTTGGCTTTGGAGAAAAGTCCCCCCTCATCATGACCTCCCAGAAGACAAAATGATGGGAAGGCAGGAGACCAGATTGCAGGGACCACTGAAATGGCAAGTATTCCATTCCTGCCTCCAGAACTGACACTTCCCACTGCACCATCCAAGCTAAACACTCCTGCTTGTGTACAGAGCTGGGAAAGGAAACCCAGACTCATGTACTGAAAGACAGCTACGGCTGTACACAGAAAAAGGTGTGGCACTCCCTGGACAGTTATTAAATCCAGACATAGCTTAGCCACTTGATATTTAATGAAGCTCTTGCAGTGTATCATGTAGCAGTGATCAGCTCGGTTGCCTCTGCGAGAGAGCCTGAACACTGAACAATTGTTTCCCTGTTACCCCAGTGCTGCCCCAGACAAAAACCATTCCAAAGGGCTGGCTACTGCCACTGGTGAAGAGAAGAACAGGCCCAGACACACACTGCATTGTTCAGAGAGAGACACACAGCTAATATGCTGAGCTGGCAAACTAGTTAGGAACTCACTAGTGAGGAACAGCTCTCAGCTAAGCAAGAGACAGAACAGGAGAGGCTGCAAGGGTCCCAATGGGCAGCCCTGCTTCTCCATCTTGTGTGGATTTGGAACCTTTTCCCTAGATGCAAGAGACACCTATTTCCCAGTCCCCTCAATGAGTCAGCCCCCCACAACTTCATATTTTATTTACTGTCCTCCACCGTGCCAGCCTGGAGCGCAGAATCAATCAGATGCCCTAAAGGCAAAAGGTTCTTGCTACATCACTAGTCTCGAGACATTCTGCATCCCACCAAACACTTGTGGGATGGAGCTTAGTCTAAGCTAGGGGTGGCCAACCTGGGGCATGGGTACCATAAGTGGCAAGTGGCAGAACAGGGAGGGGACAGACAGCACAGCAGCAAATTGGTCAGGAAGCAGAAAGCACAGCAGCACCTTGGGAAGGGATCACAGGGAAGGAAGCAGAAAGCAGAGCAGCACATCAAACAGGGGATGGGGATAAGAATAGCACTCAGGAGGGCACAGGGCTTAATTTGTGGCATGCTGCCCAAAATGTTGCCCCCTGCTGTGATCTAAAGCCATCTTCCTTCTCCCATGAACTCCAAAGCAACAGGCCCGTTTCTCCATAGGAGGCCAGATCTTCTCAAGCAAGCACTGTTTCACTCCAAGACGCGGCCTTTTCCTTTGTCTGCCCCAACATGCTCACCTGGGTGACAGAGTAGGCCAGAGACAGCACCGTGGTGATGGCCAAGACACGTTTAATACTGGACTTGCTCTCAAGATGACCTGAAAGGAGCAAGGAAAGATCATTCCCCCAGTCATTCCAGCCCCGATAAGATTGAGCACCCAAGGGCCTGCTAGAACACCAAAAACTGTTTGGCATCCCCCTAAGACTACAAGAGGTTACAGCTCACCACCCCAGGAAGCCACACTGCCACCCAGACCGCTTAGCCTCCCACAGACAGAGGACCCAGAGCATGACAGTAACAGGGCAAGAGGCTCTGGCTCTGCTTCGTTCCCATCCCCTACACTAGGAAAGCACCTAGGCCCTCCCACCACGGTTACAAGATCTGGAACAAGCTACAGCCTGAGCAGTGAAAAGCTATTAGAAGAATCTCCCTTTAATCAACTCCAAAGCAACTCCATCTGTTCCAGGCTCCAGGCCCCCAGGTGATGGAGACCCACTGCTCAGTTGCTGCAGCAAGGGGCATCACAGATGCTCCTAAAGATACACAGACAACCTTGGAGAGTACCCACGCTGAGCAGCTGGAACTGAGCCACCAACAGGCACCAGAGAAGGCTTTGTTCAGCCCCTGCTGTCAAGAGGAAAGCACCAAGAGGAGGCAAGGTAAAAAGGTCCCCAGAGGAATCTTCCTCCCACAGGAAATGGGGTTCAAGCAGCCTTCCCTCACACTTTAGCATCACCAGGTGTGTGTAGGTGAATCCTGTGTTGGTGCTTGGAGTGCTAGGTACTGCATGAGTCACATAGGAAACCACATGCATGCTAAGCCCCAGGCCATTTCCCCATGAGTCTCACACACGGTCTAACTAGTCTAGTCATCTCCTACCCAACAGGACTGACCCTCACCCCTCCCCAGCCCTCAGCCACGGTGTGCACACAGCCTCTGTGGAAGGGAAGGGGCCTGTCAGGGGCCTTGGGAGCAGGAAGCCGCCTGGCACCTACCAAAGGCGAGGCCTAGGATCACCACACTCAGCTCAATGGCCAGAAGGAAGAAGCGCGTGATCTCCCACAGGATCTGCAAAGCAACAGGAACCAGGCAGGCAAGCAGGGTCAGGAGGAACAGAGACACAGGGAAGTTTATATAGCAAAACTCTTCCCATTTCCTTTATGAACGGAAATTCCACTCCCCCTGGGGGAGAACACCATTCCCAGGGACCTTCCTTGTCCGTATACCCTTTGCCTTGAGGCCCAGCACTCCAGACCCTCCCCACACCCAGCACTTAGGATGAAGCCAGCAGCCATGGTTCGGCACAGCTGAAGCCATTCCCCTAGTGGCAGGGGTGGGACCTCTGCTGCATAGCCAACCCAGGCAGCTTGCATCTTCATCAGTTCAAAAATTAGGGATAAGGGCTTATTCTGTGGCCAACTTATTGCTAGGGAAACAGCAGCACCCTGCTTTCTCCTAGTGCCACTGCTCAAAGCAGAATGACTATATAACTCTCCCCCATCGGGAGATTGGGGGAGAGTTATATAGTCTCTCCCCCAATCTCCCCCATTCGGGGAGATTGGGGGGGGGAATTATTTGCCCCATCGGGGCAAATAATTCTCATTCACAGTCTATTTTCACTTTCAAAAGCTCCATGATAGACACCCCACACCAGGCAACGGGCTGAAAAGGATATCTGCCTTGCTTCAGGACTTCTAAGCAGAGGATGCCACACAGAAGGGAGAGCTAGAGAGAGGCAGTTTCTCTCAAAACATTTCATTCCTTATTTACCATATTTACTAGAACAGAAGATGACCATGATTATAAAACAATCTCCCAATAAGTAATTTGATATATGGAAAATGTATAAATTTGTTTAATTCTCCAGGGGTGCAGATTGTAGCCGTGTTGGTCTAAGGACACAGGCAAACAAGGTTCTTTGTGTAAATCCAATATCTTTTATTAGACCAGCTCAAATAGTTGGAAAAATTCTTCTTAGCAAGCTTTCGGGCACAAACGCCTTTCGTCAGGCTGGCAAAGGGTGTTTGTGCCTGAAAGCTTGCTAAGTTGAATTTTTCCAACTATTTGAGTTGGTCTAATAAAAGATATTGGATTTATCCAAAGAACCTGGTTTGCTTATAATTTTCCAGGTATATAATATAATTATTGGAAGTTTGCTCTGAATTTGTCCCCCTCTTACTGCTACAGCAGGGAAAAAAAATCTGGGGGGGTCAGGTAGCCCCTTTGCTTTGTTTTCCCTCAACTTTTTCCCCTGGCAGCCCCTTCGCCCTCTCCTTAACTTTCCCTGAGCACATGGAAATGAGGAGCAAATTTGAAAACAGTGTCCTTGATATTAAACATGGCTGCAGCATTTTGCATATAACACCCATACACTCAGTTCACTTAGAATTGCTGAATGTTACCTTTTTTTTTTCTTTTAAAACCGCTGCAAGTCCATAAATACAGTTTGGAGCAGCACTTTGGCACCTACTTATATGCAGTACAAGCTATACATGTTCTTAACCCAATAATCAAAGACTCATGATTGACTGTACAGTTCATTGGGCTGAGCCCCAGCAAAGTCAACAACATTTTAAGCCATGGTGACCCCCTAGCTCGGCAGTCCCCAGTATCTGTGTGTAATCCAGATACTTCCCACAAAGGATCCATTAGGCCCCACTTATGGCTGCAAGTAAGTGTTCTTGTCATGAGTCCTGGGATGCTCCAAAAATGTACATGCAGATAAGGCTCAGGGCAACCTGGTCTGGCTTCACCTCATAAAGGGCAGGACCGCACTAATCATACGTGCCGAGCTAGGGGGGCAGGGGAAGAGGCAGAGGAATTCTAGATGAATTGTTTGGGGCCCTATTTGGTGATGTTTGTCAGGTATCTAAGACTGGTGAAGAAACAGGAATTATTAGAAATAAGAGAAAACGGCAGAGTTCAGCTCTGGAAGTGAAGAAGAGGTCAAAATGTCATGCAATGTAGTGGCTCACCATGACTTGAAAAAGACTTGGTGCTGAGGAGGAATGTGCTTAATGGGCACTACCACATTTTATTCAGATGAGCTACACTATTCTATCCTTGTAGGTTCCCATCAGTGGTCATGTAGAACCATGGCTGTGTGGTGTGATTTTGTAACGGAAATGAGAATGATGTAACCCTAAAGGTGTGTTTTTGGACTATCAAGTGAACCACAGCGGCATATATATACACACACGTTTATACTTAAATTTATAGAAATTTATATTTTTTTTGTTGTTGCAAAAATATTTATCAGCATGTTTGTCCAATATGAGCCATGTGTTTTCTAGTCATGCTCAGTGTTGGCTGCATTTAATTAACTTCATAGTTGGTTCCCATTCCCGAACACATGCTGCTTTTGGCAGCAGTTTAATGATAGTCTATGTATTTAAGGCAGTTTCCTTGTATGCAAGTGTAAGCTAAGGGGCTTTTTTTCTCATGCTGATTAGAGAGAAAAACCTTGTCTTGTATTTGGGTAAATACGGTAACCTGCAGATTTAAAGCCATGCAATGAAAGTGAAGGTAAACAGGGTCCCAGAGAGTAGTGCACTGAGGAGCTATGACAGCCATGACACAAAACACTAGAGAGAAAAGGTATGCAGGAAAGATTCTCATGCCTCCTCCTGAGGTTCACTTAGCTAAGGAGACTACAGCACAGGTGTTGCCAGGGGCTAACAAACTGAGGGGAGATGCATTTTGGCATTCAAGACACATCTTGGCAATCAAACACGAACCACATCCACACTCCTGACTCTCATGATGGAGACTTTGCTATAGCATGCCTGGGGAAGCAGGGATGTTCGCTGTTCTGCCGCTCTGGGTGCTGGAATCATTTAAAGAGAGTTGTCAAAGCAGCATTCCACGGTACTGAATAGCCATGAGCATTGCAGATAAAACATCTCGAGGAAGCTACTACTCATCTTTCAAGCCAGACCTGAATAATGACTCTGGAAGGACACTCACCTTATCGGCCACTGTAGCAGTATCAGAGGCACTGACTGTCATGGAGACAACGGCCCTTGCAATCCCAACCAATGCCACCACAAAGACCTAAAAAAAAAAAGACAGTCAGAGTGAGCTGGTACCAGTGTGTTGCACGGTGACCATCAGGAAGTTTACTCCAGTGACCCTTTTCCCTGGCTGGAAGCCCAGCTGATGGAATTCAAGACTTCCAAGCTGTTGACTCAAGCCAGACCCCTGGTGATGGTCTCCCAGACTCCAAGCCTAACTGCAGGATGACTACAGTATAGGCAGCAGAGACTGGCCCCAGTAAAAAGTAAACATCCAAATTTCTAGTCCATCAAAGCAACTGTGAAGGAAGCCTCATCAAGTCTTTCCACTCAGTGCCCTTGGGGGCATTATTTCATAGACATTAGGGCTGGAAGGGACCTCGGAAGATCATTGAGTCCAGCCCCCTGCCCAAAGGGCAGGAAGTCAGCTGGGGTCATAGGATCCCAGCAAGATAAGCATCCAGTTTGCTCTTGAGATATATTATATGGAATGGGGAGATGTTCACACAGGGCAGAGAAGCTAATCTCCTTCTCCTTTTTGCCACTTCAGTCAAAAAAATGTCAAACCAACAAAAAAAAAATACTACTTCAGATTATGATGGCCTGGGCTGCCTCAGGACATGGATCTCTCCCAGATCACTGATCCACGAGATCAGCCAACAAACCCTAGATCCACAATAGGATTGTGGAGCTCTGCTCTTTCGCTAAATGGTGGTAACCTTTAGGGATGCAGAAGATAAGAGATCAGCTCAGGCCAAGGACTTCAGAGTCTCTTACATGGCAGAGTATAGTGCAGCAGAGAGTCAAGCTGGCTCAAGAACTGGAAACCTTCTAGCTATTATAGCATGGAGCTTTGGGTTGGCTAATATACCTCATCCCCATATGCTTTTGGTATCCGAACTAACCCTTTTAGAGTTAGGTCAAGTATCTCCACACTATACCACAGGCACAATCTTTTCAAGCAGAGCTGCCAGCTTCATCGTATATTACGCTAACACTCCAGAAATGAAGTAGCTAATCTGTCCACAACAGGTAGAAGTCAGATTTGATGGGCTCTCTCACAACCTGAAGTTTCCTTTCGCTGACAGCAGCAGGCAAAGCTGGTCAGCTCACAGAGCACCCTGAACAGGCTCCCTGGAGCATACTACTTACTACAGGTCTTTATAGCACCTTTCCCCTACAGAGTGAGACAGGGAAAAATCCCCAAATGCTCCAAGCCACCAGTATAAGAGCTCTGTCCTTGTCTGCATGCAAACTGAATCCTCCTTGCTTATGCTCTGAAAGGCAAGAAATGTGCTCTCTCCAAAGCTTGCACTAATTTCTAGTCAACAAACCCAATCACCTGCCTCCTCTACCTCCCTTCTCCTCTCCCCCACAAAAAATTGCAAGTCCCAAAGACATAACTTTTCTCCAGGTAGGATTCAAGAAGGGGTAAAAAGAAATATGTTTGGTGTCTAGCCTGTCCCCAGTTTGCTATGCTGTCCCCAAGCCCTGCAAGAGGGAGATCCTTTATTTGTTCTTTACAGACAAGAGCAAACTAGTTACCTGAAAGAAATCACTAGCATACTGATCCTAACCACAAAGAAAATATTTGTGTCCTCATCTTCCTATGGATATGCCCAAGATGACTAAAACTGGAGAGAAATGGTTCCCACAGTCCACACTGCTGCTGGGTTAGTCGCTGCTCCTTACTTGGACAAAGCCAACAGACTTATCAGTTTCACTTTTGTTTCTTCTCTTTGGTTTCTCAGAGTTTCAATTTCCACTAACTCCCAGTGGGACTATTCATAGTACTGACACCAAGGAGGACAATTTAAATCCAGACTGAAAACCTTTCCCCAGGGCTTTTAAAAATTCTGAATGCATTAGGTCGTTCAAAGTTTTCCTTCCCCTCCCCTCACTCCTGACCTCTGGAGCCTACACTATCTGGCAGCACCATGCACAGCTCAGAGTTTCTGATTACAGGCTCCATCTAGGCTTGCCATTATCTAGGCCTCAATTTTATCTGCTTCCTGGTTTTTTTATCTATTGTAACTGATGGCCAGGTTGAGGAAAGACACCTCCTAGACCTCACTCTCCTCATGTACAAACAGACTTTTCTTTCAACCAAGTTGAGCTCTGCCTCACAGAATGCTGCAGTGGTGCTGAATTCACCCAACTGATGAGCAGCCATATACCACTGCTTTGAGACAGCCAGAGGCCAGACTGCTCACCTGGGCAGGAGTGTTGTGAACTGCACCCAGGAGCTTTAAGGATCTGGTTGGACTAAGTGTACACCATGCTCCCAGAGGTGCTCAGCGAGCTAAATGGTATTCAGAAACCACTAGAGAGACTTCCATAGCACAAGTAGAGGCTGCACGTGCTGCCTTAAACTGGGGAGAAGGCAAGAGATAAGAGACCCTACACATTTGGGAAACAAGACTCATCTACCTGTTCCTTCTGCTTCCATCTCCAACTTCACATCAACAAGACTCAGTCATCACTCCTTCAAACCCAAAGGAAGGGTCACCCTGCAGGAACAGATGGTCACTTTCCTGCACCCTCAAAGAGGGCCTTGCAGCCTTGGGACCTCCGGTTCCAGCTCTCTAATCAAGTTAGGGTGTTCTACAAAAGCGCTGGTAAGGACTGACACTCCTGCTAACATCATGACAATTCATTTGCTGCCATTTCTATTCCACTCCCTCAGTAAGAAGTTAGTTTTAACTAGGACTGACTGCAAAGAAAGCAACTGGAAGGGAAGACACAAGAGAACAGATATCAAAACGCAGAGATAAAATATGGGGCTAGGTTTAAAGTAGGTCCCTTTGAGGTCATGAAAGACCCAACCCAGAATCTGAAATCCAGATATCCCTACTCTCTAGGAGGAACAGAATTCACACTGGGAAGCCCAGTGCCCATTTATTACACCGTGCCTTAGTTTTAAGATGTTCATATGCTTTTGCAGAAGATTTTACTCACTAGGGATCTGAAAAAGGCCCAGTCATCCAATCAGAAATGTTCTGGGAAGGGGAACTGATTCCTCCCCCATCAGGTCAGAGTACACGTGCCCATACTTACCAGTATATAAAAAGTAGTGAAGATGGGACTGGAGGTGACACGGATTTTGGCCCTGGCGGAGGGCAGTTTCCAGAGAAGAAAGACAAAGAAGAGTACATTGGGAACCAGGAGCAGGAGGTCCCAGTACCGGACTCTGCAGAGAGAGAAGCAGGATTAACAGTTCCGTATTTGCAAAATCTCCCAATGCAGAGGAAGACACCAGTCCCCTAATCCTGAAAAGCCCGTGTCCCTGGATAATACCAGACTCCATCCCCAGGTCCCAACTCTCACCTAGACTTCCCAATGTCCTCGTAAAGTAGAAGTAGGCACTTGTGCGGCACAGTGATGTTGGTATCATTGATTGACTGTGTGGTCACAGGGGACAGAGCCGTCACGCTAACTGGCACTGTTACCAGAGCAGTGGAATGCGTGACGTTGTCATACGCAGAGAACCTCACCACTGACGTCACAGATGGGAACATCCTGTCTCCTTTCTGGCCACAGAGGAAAAAAAAGTGAAGGTTACATGCAGTGGGGGTTAAGGCCAAGCATGATACAACACAGGATGATTAGGACAGGAAAAAGCAACATCTGAGTCAGAGAAACAGAAAAGTACATCCACAAAGTAGTCACAGCCTACTCATTACAGCAAATTATTATTGTTGCTAGCAGAAAGGCTGCATCACACAACAGAGCAGAATGTCTCTTGTCCCTCCACCAGGGCAGAAAAGACAGGAATCCCATCTTCGACCAGGATGACAGGAACCTTCCAGACACCGCTGACTAATCCAGATTAGATGAGGTGACTTGCAAGCCCTGCTCCGCAGCTCCCTGATATTTAACAAGCTCTTGGGCCTGCAGGAAACTTTACTCTGTAGCTTCACTCATTGGCCTTTACCCAATACCTGTTGCTAATGCCAGCCTCCCTAGTCAGTGCTAGGGGGCAAGTGGCATATATCTACTTAGATGGGACTCCATGGACTTTCTGCTTTCACAAAGCACCACGAGTGTAATGACAATATCCTAGCTGCATCTTAGACCCTGCATTCTCTTCGAGCCCTTCCAAACCACTCCAACGGCTATGATTTTAAAGCCCATAACAGGGCTCCATCCCCTTCTACAGCCTGTTGCATCTAGGGATGCACAAACACTTTACCCCATCAATAAACACAAGCTTTCACTGCTCCTGGGGCATAAGATAGCATCAGTATTGCTAATCTGTAGAGGTAGAAGGTGAAAGAGAGTTATTCAGGAACTTCTTCAAGGTCACACTAGAAAACAGAGGGAAACCCAGTGGAAGCACCCAGGAGTCCTGGCTCACAGTTACTCCTTCCCTCCCCTGTGCCATGCCGCTTCCATAGCATTTTCAAAGAAGGCAAGATAACAACTTGCTCTCCACCCCTTGTTGAAACCTATCAGATCTGCCCTCCCTGAAAGCAAGCTCATAGCTTGATCCACTGGCATACCTCGCAGGCCTTGTGGCTGCTCCAGCTAGGATATCAGCTGTCAGCCCTAGAAGTGGGGAGGGGGGAAGATGGCAAATTCTCCCCCACAGCAAAGAAACCCTATTTACCTCCCATCCACGGGGCCGAACTGGTGGAAACCAGGGGAAAATTCTGCTTTGGGACTGCTGGTAAGAGCTCCACCACACCCCAAGCTTGCCGGTGCTCCAGGGCACTGTACTCACAGACACGAGGCTCCATCATCGGCTCCCAGCTGGACTCATGGCCCCAGGCAACTCCCTCCTCTGCACTGGAGTTTCCTCTCCTGCAAAAGAAGGAACCCCCATGCTAGTAACATGTCTTATGATCCCCAGATACCAGGCACCACAATGTCGTGAAGTACCTCTCCCTCCAAGATTCCCCTCCCCTGGGTGGAGCCGCCACAAAACACCCTGGGATTTTTATTTTATTTTATTTTTTTTTAAAAGAGCCACCACCTGCTGTCATCACAAGGACGCAGGTCCTTGGGGGATTTAGAGTGCCCTGACTGCCCGTTCCCTGTAGCTAATCCAGGATTAAATCTCAACAAAATTCCCCCTCATTTGAACAACAACCAGCATTGCGGATGCTGCAGCCTGCATGAGAGAGGCAAGCAAGAAAGTCTTTATGCTTCTTGCTGACTGCTGGAGCCTACGGCTAGACATGGTCCCAGCTAGGGGAGGCAGAGAGGCCCAGCTCTGTGGCACCTGCTTTGGAGCTCAGGTTTTGTCCTCCCAGGGGCAGCCAGCTCGACACCGTCCCATTCTTCTCCGAAGCTGGGACTGTTGCCAGGCCCTGGGAGGGGATGTGGGTTGGGGGAGCTGCCTGCTGACATAGCTGCTTCTGATCCCTCCATTGTAACAGGTCCTCCGTGGGCTGGGGTTTTCTTTAAGGCTATGGTAGGTCAAACTGCATTAGAGACGTCGTTTTAAACAAACACAGCCCTGGGACGATCGGCTTTGTGCTGAGGTGGCAGCTTCTCCGCTAGAAAGCCTAGCTCTGGCAAAGGTCCCAGCCACTGACCTTCACATTAGGGAGCTCCCGTCTCCTCCCCTAAAGAGGTATGTTATGTTCCTCCCTTCAGCCTCCCCAGTTCTTAAGCACCAAATCCCTGCAGCATTGAGAAAGACATTTCTCTCTAGTGACTTACCTATGTCTTGCTACTCTGACATCTCTCAGAAGCCTCTCGACTCTGAGGGTATAAATAGATGTGGCCAAATTAAGTGGGTCATCTGTGCCAAGACGTGTCCCAGCACAGCTGATCCACTTCATCGGGAAAACCATGCGTTACCCGTTGTCCTTCAGGATCAATGGGTAATGCGTTCCCCACCTGCAGAGACACGCTGCAGGGAACTGGTGGTCCCAGCCCCAGGATTGCACAAGGAAGAATTCAACCTCAGAAAGCTCATGTGCATCTGGGGAATCCCAGACGGAGGAAACCAGGCAGGCACTCCCAGGGTAGCTGGAGAGCACTCTCCTGCCTCCAAGCAAACAGACATCCGTCACAAAATAGTGGCACAAATTAATACCACCTATGTCACGACCACAAATTTGGGGCATTTGGGGAGTGATAAAGGGCATGGACATCTGCTTGCTTGACTTCTGTACCCCCATAAAAATGTTTATGGTGGCACAAAGGTGTCTATTTCCAGCCTGAGAAAGGCTGCAGCAAAGGAGGATGGGTGGATATGACTGCACTCAACTTATGCCTAACTTTTTAACAGGGTGGGAAGAGGAGGAGAGAGAGACTCAGGAAGCATAGAGAGAGGAGGGGAAACCATGAGCCAACAGCCCTGCAATGCTCTGCTCTCTGCTGCTTCATTCACTCTACCACCGACTTACATGGCCAGCATAATTTCAGCTCTGCTCCCCAAACTACTGAGGGAAAGTTATTTTTCCTTCTTTGCAACAACTGTGCTTAGACACTCCCCAGGGTGGTTGATGCCGTTTTCGAGATAAGAACTGCCCTCATCGCTCTGCTAACAAGACCACATTTCAACACAGTTGTTACCACAGAGCCTTTAATGGTGAAAACAAGGCCATTTTTGTAAACAGTATTTTCCAGAATTCACCCTGTCCTTTTTTGCTTAATTGCTACCCGCTCCTTTCACTCCAGAACCAGCTCATGAGATGGGGATTTTCCATCCAGTGACAAAGGCCATTTCCCCATCCCCTCCTAGTTTCAATATCACATCCATTTTTTTTTCCCCAGAAAAGCTAAAAAAAGACTTTCCCATGGCCTAAAAAAAAAAGTCAAGCCAAAGTAGCTGCCTGAAGAGCAACCCCAGCCCACAACAACAGGGGAAAGGAATCTCCTGCCTGTATTCTCCCTCAGCTTGGGGGATGCCTTGATGCACAGGAGATGGGAAGAAGGCAATGCTCTCATGATAGGACCCAGAGCAAAGCAGCCTGCAGTTCACAGGGTCAAGATGTCCCGCAGTGGAGGGGGGAAGCAGGATGGCCACCGGCTTCAAGCACCTAAAGGACTCAGACGTGGGAACAAATCAGCTGCAGCCTGGCCCCTTTATGCTACGTAAAGGGGCCAGAGCACAGTCGAGGCCCGAGTGCCAGCTATCAGAGCGTTTCCTCAGGGTAAGCAATACAGGAGACAGGCACAAGGCTGCCTCGAAGGACCACCCATCTCCAACCCTTGGCGTACAACAGCCACAAGACACAGCACTGCAATGATCCCAGGTGCCAGCAGTAACTCAGGCCCCCAGAGTTGCCTGCTATACTGGTCAGCTTGGAGTAGCAAAGCCCTGTCCCCCTGAACAATACAACACCTCGTCGGGGCATCAGTTCCCCACCTGTGAAACAGAGTAGGGACCGGTGAGGCTAACTTCATTTCAGTCTGTAATGTATGTCAGGATCTTCAGAAGAGAGAAACTGGAGAAGTGCAAGGTACTGTTACCTGCCCTCAGGAATGGCAATCCCCGAGCTCTGCCATTTGAGCTCACCTGATTTACTATAGTAGCAGGCCTGTTTCTGAACACCTCTAGCTCTTGCCTTTTCTAAGGCAAGGGTTAACAATAGAAGCACTGTTCTCTCACACGCAAGTGTTACCATAGCCATCTGTTTCAGCAACATCTCCTTCCCAGATTTAATACCCATATTGTACACATATTTTTGCACCACCTTAGCTACAAGCAATTTTCAGTTGACAGCATGCTTGCAGAGTGCATGTAATTTAGCTTCAGTTAACCAGGAATACCTGGAGTGTAAGCACATTAGGAATAGCACTCTTGAATGACAACACTGAGTGCCACAATAAAAAGCCTCATTAAGAAAAATGGCATGCAAACTCTTGACTGATTTCAAGACCAACATGTTGCTTGCTTTCAGAAAAAAAAAAAAAAAAAAAAAATCACCTAAAATAGATCTCCCACAGAACCAATTTGAAAAAAAAAATCTTAGCTTCATCCTTGTGCCCACATGGAGCCCCTGTGTAAAATTAAGGTATTACTATTTAATAAGAACGTGGGTCCAGTATTTTAAATGCAGAAACTTCAGAATAGATACTTAGTTCTATATTTAGGTACCTACATATATATGCAAACTAACTGAGTCACTGAGCAGCTACAGCGCCCCCCAAAAAAGTCTGAAGAAGGTCCCCTTTGCAACGTCTACATAGACATCTAACTTAAGGCACCCACATTCAGAACTGATAATCTTAAAAAAAAAAAAAAAAAAAAAAAAAAGGAAGAAGCATGCTTCAAATGAAAAGTTCAGCTGAAACCCTGCAAGAGATCACAAGATCTAGTTCATGGTCAACGACTCAGCCATAACAACAGCTTGATTTGTGAATGTCGGGCTAGGCCAATGTTTTATAAATCGAGCTAGAAGGCAGGGTAAATGTGCACCTTACAGATTTACCAAAAGTAGTATATGTGTACACACACAACAAGCTTTTGTGGGCTGAAGTTCACAGCTCGCAAAATCTGGTGCCACACGCACACACTTTGATTAATCTATAAGGTGCAAATCTACCCTGCTTTCTGCTTGACTTCAGACTAACGAACCTAGCCATGTCTCTCCTAGCCGTACCTCTCCTTATCCATTCAGGATAAGGAATGTTTACCATGCTTCTCCCTCCTCATACGCTAATGCTGCATGCCAGCTAGCAGGGACCTCTAAAATAACAGTCTTTGCATGTACCGATGCAGCGTCCTCAAAACAGTGACGCGCAAATATTCACAAGCAATGTGGCCACAACCCATGCGCTGTAGAGTGAGCTGTGAGCGTGTCCCGAACTGGGACAAGCCACTACGGCCTGCCTGCTGCCCAGGGCATTGGTTGCATTGCCAAAAGAAAAGACTCGCCTCTCCTGAAACAAGTTCACAGGCAGTTTTTCAAGGCTTCTAGGCACACAGGGCTGAGATCTCTCCAGTGGTAGGGACCATGCTGGGCACAAATGCTGCGCTGCTATGTGCTCCTTACAAGTTAAGTAAAAAGGAAAGCTTGTCTATGTCTACCCCAACCATGGGGGCCCAATAAAAGAGACAGGTGTAGGTAGTCATGTTAATCTGAAGTCAAGGTGAAGGCAGAGTAGGTTTGCACCTTATAGACCAGTGGTTCTCAATCTTTTTTAGACTCAAGGAACCCTGGAGAAAGTGCCAGCTCATAGCTTTTACTTGTGTTTTGACGACAAAAACACAATAGAGCAATTCTTCTGTTGCACAGACTTGATAAAGACCCCAACGAGTCTGAATGTTTTTAATATTTGTGGATTCCTGTTGAAATCTCTAGGTTATCTTGAGAATCACGTCTGCCCACCTAAGAGTGCTGACAGTGTGGCACCCGTGACAGGATCTCAGGGGACCCTAGCCCGCCACAGCACCCTGGCAGAGAACCACGGGTACAAGCTCACCAAAACACATCCTTTTACAGCATCTGATGGAGTGAGCTTGGACTCGGGAAATCTCGTGCTAGAGATACACACAGGTTTAGATATATTACACACACATCTATATATAGTCAGGTATCCAGGTTGTAGCCATATTGGTCTAGAGGAGAAAGCAATCAGGACTCGAAGTGGAGATGGTATCTTGTATTAGAACAACAAGATTTTTGCACAAAAATTCTTTAATTGCAATTAAAGAATTTTTTTTTGCAAAAATCTTGTTGGTCTAATACAAAATATCATCTCCACTACGAGTCCTGAAGTCTATATATATGCACTATACACACACATGTGCAGGTATATACGCACACATATTCTACACACACATGTGCATTTCTATCTACACACACATATACACACACACTCATATATACATACACACATTATGTACACATATCTATATACACACATACATGTCTATAGATACACATGCATTATACACATGCACCTATATAAACACGTGCCCATACAGATACACATAAACACCCCTATTATAGATACACACACACCCATATAAATACACATGAACCCATACACACACACACCAATTATAGATACACATGCACCTGTATAAATGTGTCTATTTATATTATATGCACACAAATATACATACACGCACATTATGTACATGTATCTATAGATATATATATATATATACACACATACACACACACATGAACCCAAAGCCCCCCCATTCCCCCCAAAACCCCCCCCCCCCCCGTATGGATACACACGCACCCATACACATGCCCATACAGATACATGCACACACCTATTATAGATGCACACGCACTCCCCTAGATACACACCCGCACACGCATAGACACACAGAGAGATGCGCACCCCCGATCACGCGTGTCCCTACACACACACACATTACACGCGTGTCTATAGATGTACACATACATCTTACCGAGGGCGCAGGACGCGGCTCCGCTCGGCCATGCCCCGGCCCCGGCCCCGGCCCGACGCTTCCTCCCGCGCGTCCGGGGAGCGTCACTCAAGAGCTTCCCGGCCACGGAGCCGCAACCACTGCCCCGCGCCGCCTCCTCCGGGCGGGCTTGGCGCCCGCGCGCTACAAGAAGACAGCGCGTGACCCGACAGCGCCCCCAGGCTCCACTCCCCGCGGGGGGAGGGCTTTTTTCGGCTACGCCCAGATTGACTTTTCCTAGAGGCTCCCTGGGACCGAGCCAGCTCCACCAATCAGGAGGCGCTAAACCAAAGAAGGCCGGGGGAGGGTGCGCTGAAAGAGCCGCGAGAGCCAATGGGAGCCGTCGGGAGGCGGGACTCGAAGCGCTGGAATGTCAGAGGCTGAAGGGGGCTGCGGGGGGTTGCGTGTCGCTGTGCAGGGCAAGGGGCATCTCCTGCCCCAAAGCAGTGGTGTGTCCCAGCCACAGCCAGGGGCAGCAGCAAGACCAGGCGCATCCCCTGTAGCCCATGTTCAATGCAGGGCTCTCCCCCCATCCCTAGGCCACACGTCCATGAGTTCTGCATGCTTTTTGTGGAAAGGCGACCCTGCGCCTTCCTGTGTTAGGGCAGATAATGTTACGCCCAGGCTGCCACTGGGGGCTTTTATTTGGTTAGAAATATAAGGGAAGCCAAAGCAAGCTCCTCCAGACCAGAGGCGGGTTTATGGGGATGTTATCCACCAGGCAATATAAACAAAAGCAGCTCCATACAGCAGAGTTTTGCATTTTTTATAATTCATATATTTTGTGTCCCAGGTCAAATCAGTTCCAAATCATATCGACTGAGCAGCACTCAACCCTTCCAAAAACCGTATTGATTGAGCAGGCAGAACTCAATCATTCTAAACACCATGAATGGCGCTACAACTGGCAAGCATCCTCCATCCCAGGCTCCCTCCCTGGGAATTCAGATACTCCCAAATCCATTGCCAGTCATCCTACGTACAGCAAAGATTTTTTTTCCCCATATTCTAAGCCAAGTCAGCCCAATCAAATTCCACATCTGAGAGTCAGTCCAGAACCATAAGTGGCCCTACTACTGGCAAGCATCCTCCATCCCCATCTGGAGCTTCAGACATTCCCAAATCCTTTAGCGGGCATCCTACTTGCAGGCCCAACCCTGGAGGCTTGGGGTTCAGATGCATGCACAAATGGATTCCCTACCAAGGTCTCTGAGCCCTCAGAAGATAGCCTCAGTATTGGAGGCAAGCTCCAGGCTCGCACCCCTCCACTTTGGTGTGGGGGAGTTTTATACCATTCAGGAATTTTATGCAGTTCAGGTTCAATATTCCCACCCATTCCTCTGAGATAAGGATCTCCTGGCCAACTCAACAGAGAGCAGGGAAACTGAGTCATGATCCATGACCCTTGTCCTTTCCTAGTGTCACCTTATTAGCACTGGGTGTGATCACTGGCCTTTGCTTCTCCACTCCCTTGAAAGTGTCCCTCACAACTAGCTTCTCTCACAGGCTGAGCCTTGTGATTCAGACTGAACTCTGAACCCCCCTCCCTGACACTCTGGGATCAGAGTATCTGGGAGGGGGAATGTAGCAATACACCCAGCACAGCAAAAAGAGAGGTGAGGGCTGTTTAGGACTCCCCAGTACTAGCAAGTGGAGCCAAGATATACCCCATGTTCTAGATCATAATAAAACAAGCCCCAAAACATTGCCACTTGGTGGAAGTGCGCATATTCCAGGGTTTATGGCAGTAGTTCTCAACTTTTTTTTTGATTCAGGATACCCCTCAAAAAGGGCCATCTCTTGGTTTTCAGTCCTTTGTGACTAGGGAAAAATAGAAGAGCAAGTCTTCTATTGCTGAAAACTCAGAAAGACCCCAACAGATCCACATGGGATTCCTTTTTGAAATCTCTGGGGTTTAGCTTGTGAAGCATGTTTGCACACCTCACTGTGCTAACACTGGGCAGCACCCTGCAAAGGATCTCAAGGCACCCTGGAGTACCGCAGCACCCAGGTTGAGAAGCACCGGTTTAGTGTCTTGGTGTCTGGGCACAGAATTCAAAACTCCTGGAAGACAGTTTCAGGGTCAACTTTAGTAAAAACTACTTCACAGCTAGGGTGTCCAGACTGTGGAAAAAGCTCCCTCCAGAAATGCAATCACCTAACCTGGAAATCTTCAAGATAAGACTAGACAGTCACTTTGCTGAGATCACCTGACCTGCAGTTGTTTTTCCTGCTTGGTGCAGGGGGCTGGATCCGATGATCTTCCAAGGTCCCTTCCAGCCCCTTACAATCGATGAATCTCTCCGTGGCCCCACTGAAAGGTATACTGAGCCCTCGCAGTGAGCAAAGACTCAAAGTACAGTGGACTCAGCACCCCACACCTCTAGAACATCCTCCTCTTTGAAACAGGCATAATATAATTGCCTTAGATACTGGCACTCAAGTAGGAAGGGAGCAGCTGCCCTAGAAACACCTGATTTGGCCAATGCTTCAGACTTAATCTCTTCATTAGGATCATATTTCACCAGGCTTACACTCATGCAATTCCTTGGTGAAAGCTGGGTGCTGTGGAGTGTGAGGTAGAGAAGGATCAACCAGTGTTTTGCATGTCACCTGCATTTGAGGAACAGTCTTACACACCTCGTTGTAAAGCACACAGGGCAGAGAGGGCAGGCTTCTTTCCAGTTGCATCAGCAGAGGCATTTCACCACAGATTACAGCTCTTCACTTGGTTTCTCTTCAGGAAAAAACAAGAAAATTGCTTGCACAGTATTTTACATTGCACAGGCTTCTCCTTGGGAGTGGATGAGAAAACAAACGCTGTGTGAAAGACATTAGACAGGCCACTGAATACACTGCTGGAAAGCACTCAAGCACTCAGGTACTGTAGTAATGAGCATGGCGGAAGAACCTATTATCTATTTACAGCACAGAAGGGCAGAGTAGGTGTGTACCTTATAGACTAAATAGCACCGCATAACATAAACTTTCGTAAGCAGTGGGCTTACTTCATCAGATGCTAATGAAGTAGCTGATGAAATAATCTGATGAAATAAGCCTGCTGCTTATGAAAGCTTATGCTATGCATCCCTGGTTTAGTTAGTCTTTAAGGTACAAATCTACCCTGCCATCTGCCTGACTTCAGACTAACATGGCTAATTACGTCTTCCCACTTACAGCACAGTCATTTATCTCCTTGAGTGAGTGAAGATGGTATTGTAGGCAGCCTTAATAGCCAATATTGCTCCCCTCAGCATAAGTCTCCTTACCTCCTCTGTCTGAAAGGAAGCTCAATAAGTACTGAACTTCCCTTTCCTCTACACCTATGTTGGAGGCTAATGGAAATGTGGTCCTAAAAGGAGCAATCCTGTGTTAACTCTTTCTCTCTCCAGTACTGTCAGGCACCAACAACCTCAGGCTTGCCGTTTTGCTTCCTGGAGTTTAAACATGGGCATGGGGAATTATAATAATAACAACGCTTACATGGTGTTTTTTATTCATAGAATGAAAAGCCTTTTACAGAAGTGGGAAGCATCTTTATTGGCATTTTACAGATGGGAAAACAGAGGTACAGAGAAAGGAAAGTAAATTCCTCATTGCCCAGCAGACAGGTGACAGAGCACTGGAACACATTCTTAGTTGCATTCCTATGTTTCAGCTGCTGGGATCTGCCACTGAAGGTCACACCTGTTTGGTCTCCTGATCTTTGACAGTGACAAGTACAAGAAAGGTGGAAGAAATGCATTCCAGACCAATGTGTATGAGGTGAGGCAAAGGGGAAGCCTCCTGACTGATTTCCTGACCACAGGCAGTTAGTTAGTGGTTGGTGTGTGCCCTGAAACACATGGGTCACAAATTTCTGTAACCTGTTTCTCCGTGAATGTTTTCATTATCCAGATAAACCTGCATAACTTAATACTGTAGCCCAGTATCATCTCAATAGAAAAAACAGAAATGCTGCAACAGGCACACAGATAATAATGGGCCTCCATTTAGATGTAAGCTTGCCAAGCATTATGGGAATGAGGAAAGCCAAAGGGATTCCTTGCAGATGAATCATCACAAAGCAAAGAAACAACAGTCCTGCTCTATGGCCTGATCCTCCAATCAAATCAATGTCCGAGGAAGAGAAACAAAAATTATTCATAAGCTGGAGGGAGTGACTCCTAAGGAAAGTTTAACAGCAACAGAACTAGCTAGGCATCACTTAGCCAAACTGCAGCTAAGGGGCAATGTAAATGCTTCAGGGCAGTGGTGCTCAACCTTTCTGGGGTGCAGGCTGGATCTGGGGTGCAGCGTCAATCCATGCACCAGCCTGATCCAGCCACACACCACTATCTCCCACACTGGCCTGATTCAGCTGCACTGCTGGGAAGCAATGAGCATCGCCTCAACTGAAGCTAACTTCAGCTTCATGAACTTCTTCATAGCTTAACATCAAGACTCACTGCCTCACTCTGGCAAACTTCATAGAAAGAACCTAGATTCAACCACACTGCCCATCACAACCCCATTCATTCCCAAGCCTCTAGGTTAACACACTTTTCGTGCTGGTGTAAAGCCTTTCATTTCAATGGATGGACATCTGGAGGTGCCTCCCTGTGCTTTGTTCTGTGCGGGATCTCCCTGTGCATGCACCTCAGAACTATTTTGTAGATAGGAAGCCTATTGAGAGAGGTGAAGTGGTTTGCCCAAAAATGCCTCTGTGTGGAAACGCTTGCAGCAATTTAAGTCTGCCGTATTTCAGTTCAGTTTCCATCAAGGACATGTCAACAGCAGAGTCAGAAAGAGAAGCCAGCTCTCCCTGCTCCTGGGTTTTAACCAGCGGATGACATTGCCCCCACACACAGCTGTGTTGGAAGAGAAGCTCCCTCCTTGGAGTCCACCAGCCCATTCCCCGGGATCACCCTCACAGCTCGGCACTGCAGGCACCATCAACAAAGGGAAATGCATCTCAAACAGTTGATTACGTGGCACAACAGGAAGCAGGCAAGAAGGAGCTTCAGCTTCTCTGTTTCTGCAGCTGTCTTGAAATATGGGAACAGTGGAAAAAGAATGCAGGATAAGTGGAGGATGCTTCTTGCCCCAGGGCAGAGGCAGCAGTTACTCATACTTCCTGTCCTATGCAAGCCCCAAAGC